CTCGGTGTGGATAACAGGGCTAAAAAAAAATTTCAGAATTTGAAGAACTATACAATCAAGGAAGCCATCTATAACTGGGCCAAGGTGTGGAGTGAATTAAAGGAATCGACTTTGAAAAATTCCTGGAAAAAACTCCTCACGTCTACGGTCAGAAATGAGGAGGATAAAGAAATGGATTTTGAAGGATTTACAGATGAAATCCATGGAATGTTTAGAAATGCCGGCGAAAACTTAGAAAGACAGGATGTGGTTGATTGGCTTGAACAAGATGTCAATGATCCAGGATATGGTGTGATGAGTGAAGACGAGATTCTACAGTCTGTTACTGGTGAGGTCGACGAAGAGGATGAAGAAGGCAGTGAAGAACCAACACCAATGACCACGAAATACAGTGTACTCATGACGTATGTTGACGGATTAATAAATTTTTCATCTAATTGTGCTCATCCAGAGGTTGGAAACGTGAGGCGGCACGCACATCCCAAGCGCCTTCAACAAGTAAGGCGGCACACGCAACCCAAGCGCCTTCAACAAGTAAGGCGGCACATGCAACCCAAGCGCCTTCAACAAGTGAGGCGGCACACACAACCCAAGTGCCTTCAACAAGTGAGGCTTCCTCAGCAGACAGTGAGAACTAACTTTGCCTAATGAACTGTACAATAATTTTAAGTGTTAATTTTAGTGTTGTGTTACTATAAGTTACGTAAATTGTCAAGAATTTTTAACTTCGAGATGTGTCATCAATCAAGAAGACGAACAACAAAAAGGTAAGTTGAGGTTTCTAGTTGAATATTTAATAATTATATGTGGCATGTCAATTCAAGTTATGTTGTTTGTAGTATAAAAATAGTTGGAAATGGTTAATTTTGGACTCGTAGGTGAAAAATTACCATTATCCGAAAAATGTGCTAATCCGGCTGGGGGTCCTTCCCATATAGTCCGGATGATTGAGTGGAGACAGTTATTTCAATGTCCCTGATTGATTTTTCATAGTTTTTTGCTGTAATATTATTCAATAGTGTGTAGTTTGATATATTTATATAATAAAATGAGTGAATCATCGCTGTACTCAAAAATATGGTGTGCATATTGTTGATTCAATTATGTTCATCAAACAGTGAACCAATACTTTGTCGGTTATTACACTATATACACAGGTTATATTTAAGTATCTGCATGTTTTGTTCTCCATAACGGACCACTAAGTAGCTATTATGAGTCAAAAAGTAACGAGGAGTGACCGCCTTGTACCAGCCAGCCACTCACGCCCTCCCTCAAGTCATCTGACTCACCCACATTCTCCTCCCACCATACTGTTTTTGCTTTTATTCACTATATACAGACGTTATATATAAGTATCTACATTCGTGTTCACCATAACGAGCCACTAAGTTGGCATGCTGAGTGGCAGTGGCAGTAGCAGCCCGCCACTGGTTGCTACTTCCTCCCTCCATCAAGTCACCTGAATCACCCACATTCTCCTCCCACAATACTGTTTTTGCTTTTATTCACTATATACAGATGCTATATGTAAGTACAGTATCTACATTCGTGTTTAACATAACGAATCACTAAGTTGGTATGCTGAGTGGCAGTCAGTGGCAGCCAGCCACTGGCTGCCACTCCCTCCCTCCCTCACCTGGCTCGCCACTATTCTCCACCCACCATACTGTTTTTGCTTTTATATACAGACGTTATATATAAGTATTTACATGTTTTGTTCACCATAACTGTACATCTAAGCTTGTATGGTGAGTAAAGGCACAAAGACGTAGGACCTCACACAGTCAGCTGGCTGCCGCCCTCAAGGCCAGACGCACTAATATTTCTCCTCCAACTCTACCTGTTTTATTCACCATACTTGTACAAGTAAACTGGTATGGTGCCCAAAGACCATCGTGTTCACCAGTAAACAACATGGTAAGCCATGCAGACGACGCCACCGCCCTCACCAAAATGGCGGTTCCCAACCTACTCCTCTTGCTGTTTATGCCCTCTATACACACTTTATATATAAGTATCTACATTTGTGTTCACCATAGCGAACCACTAAGCTGGTATGGTGAGTGCAGTCAATAAAAGGTGGCCACACACAGTCAGAAGAAAATGCCACTACCCTCCCCTCCCACAGCATTACTCCTCCCTCCATGGAGCACAGCGCTAAATATCACTACAATCCTGCTATTATCAGAACCCTGGTCAGTTGTATCACAGTCAGGGGTCTTCTGTAATAATATCATCGCAACATAATAGCATGAACAAGTATATTATGGCATTTTTAAGCGATGCTGTGGTCACAAGCTGAACAGCAGTGCTGTGAGCTCATGCTGAGTGCGTCAGGCTTGGTAGCTCACTCAATACCGAGGCCCCTCACACCCGGGAATTTGGCCCACGATTTTTAAAAAAAATGGCGTCTGTTTACATGAGCCCTGATGAAGGTGTGGTGAACCCCGTGTATCCGCGGGCCGTTTAAATCTTGCGTAGTACTACAAAGCATCATATGATGCGATGCGCAATTTACTGCAAGTCGGTCAAAGCATCATATGATGCGATGCGCAATTTAAGGGTTAAGCCAGATCCAGTAACATAAATTTCTCTTAAATATTCGATTTACATCAAATTATATATTTTTGGGTTATATATTTAGTTTAGCAACATTATTACAGTAATAAGAGCTATAAAAAATACTTACTTTGGAACTGATTTATTAATTTGATTATTTCAAAGCCGTAGATCACTGAACTGTGGCAACAAAATTGAACAAAACAAGCATGTTGTTGTGTGGACACAGATTAGACCCCTCCACTCACGCTGGAGTTGAGTTGCCAATAACGTGAATAATTTCTCAAATAGCAGATATCTATCATATTACAGTATATTTTTGGTTTTATTTAGTTTAGTTTAATTAGGATAATAAAGAGTTATTAATTAACACTTTCGCGCTCTCCACGAAGGTCAGGGAAACAACCGTAAGTGTTCGCGGCGTTTTGCCGCGTAAGCGTAAAAACAAAAATGTGTATACTCTTTTTACTCTCATGACCTTAGTTCTCGAGCTACGTATTTCATTTTGGTACCAACGTGTTCACAATAAAATTCTCTAGAAGAACATCAGTAAAAAAAGTCACGAAACGTATAGGGATACCAGCACCAAATAAATAACTACGAAGATGACTCGCCATGAGCGCCCAACAGCAACAACATGTTTTTACTCTTGGGATTGTTATCACCTCCACACTTGTCCTACAGCGTTAATTTTGGTATCAATGGACTCGCAATGAAATTCCCAACACGGTGATATGAATATAAGCGTAGAATAATGATTGCGGCCCGCCTGCAAGAGTGTGGGAAGTGGTGAAATTGTTACCCGGTATCGGTGACGGGACGACGCACGGCGCTTTGAAAGTTTATACTTATTTCACTCTCATGACATTAATTTTCTATGTACGTCATTCATTTTTGTGTCAATGTGTTCGCAATAGAATGTTCTATGAGCCCATAGGTAAAAAAGATCAACAAAGCGTAAGATAGAATAGCGCCAAATATAAAACAACGCTGGAACATATCAGTGAGCATCAAACACACACGAAATGTTTTTACTTTTGTTATGTTTGTCAAGTTTATACTTGTTGCACACAGTTATTTTTGGTTGTACATTGATCGGAATAAAATTCCCTAAACAGACATATGCATATAATGCATGATATGGGGGGAAGCATTACCAGTATAAACGGCTAAAGTCACCCACCTGCAACCCGTTAGGGACATAATACCATTTGATCGAAGTGGTCCACACCTTTCATGAACTTATTGTACCATGCAGCCTAGTAGTGAGAAAGAGAGCCTCATGGCGCGCAGTATGAAACAAACTTAAAGTAAATCGGATAAAAATTGAATTTTATACAAATATTTTAAAAGAGGACATAACTTTATGTCCACTATGCGGTAGCGTTAGGCGAAACAGGACGCAGCGGTGAGTCCGGTTAGCGCGAAAGTGTTAACACACCAGTTTTAGAAATGATTTATTAATGTGAAATGTTCAAAGTCATGGGTCACTGAACTATGACAACACAGACGAAAGTGAGTGAAACCTCACTTTACAGTGAGGTTTACTGTACAGTATTCCCTTATCTGTCCACCCTCCCTCGTCTTGTTTCATCACAGAAAATGTATATAAGAAGATTTCAACATATTAGCTAGCTATTCACGCTTCAGCCTTTAAATTAATTTACAAAGATACGTGTGCCACAAATCGGTGAACGAAAATCATTGAAACTCAGTCGTTCACTTGTGTGGACAACTCTGGCTGGTGTTTGGTTAATATGCGTCACTTCTTGTGGACCATTCTGGCTGGTGTTTGGTTCATATGATTCACCTGTTGTGTGGTCCACTTGTGTGATCCAACTTGTCATATGAAGGAATTATTAATTGTAATCTGTGATGGTAGGGTAAAGTTTTCCACCACTCTGTGAACTCCGTACCAAGATCGTAAGCTTGTGGACCACTTGAGTGGTCCACTTGTGTGATCGAACTTGTCATATGAAGGAATTAATAATTGTAATCTATGATACAATGTGAAAGTTTTCTACCAGTCTGGAAACTCTGTCTGGACGTCGTAAGCAAATCCGAACATCATCCGCTTCGGTGAACCATTGTTCGTCGAACCGGGTGAGTAAATCCGGCCTGAAAAGTGTGCGAACTAGCCGGAGAATCGTTGAATCGGGGTACGTTGAATCGAGGTTGTACTGTAGTGTAATATATTCTTCAGTTATTCAATTCTTTTCTTCACCCAAAACAATATGACTTTTGGTGAACTCGTCTTCCAGCTGAACCCTGATGCAAGAGCATTAGTAAGAGGGATAGAAGCCCTAAACCAGAAAATAGTAAATACGGAATATGCTGTCATATTCAATGAGATATGCATTAAAGTAATTACTGTACCTCTTAGTGCAATACAACTGGCAATTGTACATTATTAAAGTCTTCATTAAAACTGAATTTACCTCATGTGAATCACTGCGAAGTTCTAGAGGCTGCTTGAGTAAATGAAGCGAGTGCGGAGAGTTTGGAGAGTGCGGTGACTGAGGGGAGGCAGGACAATGAGGTGACTGGGGAGATGAGGGTGAGGAGCAAGATTGACTCTCTCTGCTGCCACTTGCTCTATTGCTACTGCTAGTACAACTGCTGCTACTTCTGCTGTTACTGCTGCTGCTACTACTGCAGCTGGCCACTCCACTGTTGTCAAGTGAGGTATTCCTTGCTTTCTGACTCTTAACATTATCCAGGCTTAAACCTCCCCCTCCGTCATCCACTAGGCACATCTGCTTGCGTAATGTTTCAAGGAGAAGTGTAACAAACTCTTGACAGTCATGCTGAAAAACATCACATTAATGTAGTAATTGTTCAAAGAATGACAGATTCATCAAGTGTATTATAGTATTGATATCCTACAATTTCTTCTGTTTCCTTTATTGCTACTGCTATTACAACACACATTTTGAAAAGGTGACACCCCTAGTGTCAACAACTGCATCAGAGGAGCTCCAGCATATTTCAACAATCCTAAGTATTGTAGTACAGGTTGATAATAGTGAGTGGTGACCCAGGGAACACAAATGTATGGTGCTTTTGAAAAATAGGCAAGATAACACGAATGTGCTAAGGGAAGTGAGAAAATTGCACGAGAAAAAGTTGCCTTAGTGTTTCCAGTGCAGAGAAGAACATTAAAGATGGCCACCAGCAAGAGGAAAACAAACCAGAACTTGGTTTTGAGGGATTAAATGAAGAAAGCATTGACATAAGCAGTCTACATAACAAGTTGACAAAATTAGATACTATAGTGAACTCTAATGTAGAAATACTCAGTAAATTGAAAGTAATGACCATTTGTGTAGCAAAGTTTTATGTCTTGAGGGTTTAGTGAAAGACTTGTGCAAGGACAAGAATCAATTGGAAACAAATTACAAAGCCATGGAAGAGGAAAATAAACTCTTAAAAATAGCTTTTGAAGAAGTTAAAGTAAATTTAAACATAAATGACTACAATAGGTTAGGTAAGGAAATTCAACAGGAGAAACAGCTTTTGTCAGTACAGATGAAGGAAGTTACTCAGGGAATAGAACAGTGCAAGGAGGATACACAACTCACCTATGCACAAGTGGCCAAGGAGAAGGAAAAAATAGAAGAAGCAGTAAAGGAAGTCAAACACTGCAGCAACCGAGATAAAGCAAACATTAGGCTGGAAGTGAGAAAGGAATTGGCATCTAACCCGAAGTTGATGCAAAACACAGTTGATCGGAGTAAGTACCTGATAATTTTTGGTTGCAAAGAAAAGGAGATAACATCTAGGTCAGAAAGAGCTGTAGAAGAAGCGAAAGTAGTAGATAAAATTGTTGGCCTCGTGGAAGGTCTTACTACCATAGAGAATGTGTGTGACTACAGGAGAATAGGCAGGTACGTAAAAGGGAAAGATCGACCTTTGAGGATCACCCTAAACGGTGCCAAACAGATGGAAGAAGTACTAAGGAATGCTAGAAAATTACAAAGTGATGAGGATGGGAAAGTGCAGTCATTAGGACGAGATCTTTCAAGAGAAGACAGAGGAGCTGAAACTAAACATCGTAGAGGCAAAACGTCTAAATAAGAGCAGAAACGAAGAAGAAATCAATTCTTCTTATCTACAAAGTGATAGGGGTAGGCAGACCTGTAAAATGGTACAAAAAGGCAAACCAACAAATTGCTAGAGAGGGAGGTAGTGAAGACTAAGGAGAGGGGGAACATGTTCCTGAAAATAGAATATACCAATGTAGATGGAGTGAGATCGAAGATACTGATTTGATAAAGATTTTCTCTCTACGGTCCGATACATCTAACACTTTTGACTTTCTTCTCCTCAACATCAACGCATCTCCCTATGTCTGTCCTGGAGCAGTTATCGGGAGGGTAAACCCTTCATGCAAACTGCACCTATTCTCAAGAAGAAGATACTGGAGTTACGTGATGTAATACAGCTACAGACACCAGACATTGTTGTACTCACGGAGACAAAACTTGATGTTATTTTAAATAAGGTCGTATTCCCAAGGGGCTACTCAATTTGGAAATGGGACAGAAAAATTATAATGATTGATAATGAATTGATTGATAATAAAATTACAACGATAACGAAATAATGATTGCCAATCCACGAGAAGTTGACATAATAGCACTAGAGATCTGCCATGAGGATGATAAACTAAAGATTATAAATGCATATAGTCCACCACCAAGCAACACAAGGACAAAGGAGGAGCGAGAGAGTAGAGGAGAGGGTCTTATAACAATAAAGAGAGAGATTATAGCGAGAGCGGATAAAGATAGATCATGATTGTTGATAGTCGGCAACGTCAAATTGAAATCCATAGACTGGGATGCATATGAAGCTAGAACAGAGGATTTTTGGACCTGTAGATTTGTAGACTTCATTCTGGAAACATTCTTGTATCAACATGTTAAACAAGCTACGAGGATGAGGGAAGGGGACGTTCCCTCCATGCTAGATTTGATATTTACCAGGAAGGAGGAAGAGATATTTGACATTCAGTACCTTCCTCCCTTGGGTTAAAGTGAACATGCCTTTTTTGGGAATCAAGCATGCAATACATTATAATCAGGAAGAAAATAAGGAGGTTGAAGCCGTTGAAAAACCTGATTTCAGGAGAGGACACTAAGGCGACCTTAGAAAATTTTTTAGTGAGTATAACTGGACAGACTTGTTGCTAGGCAAGGAAGTAAATGAGATATGTAAAGTTTTGTGAAATATATGATAAAGGTACAAAACAATTTCTACCAAAGCAGAGATGCAGAACTAGGAAACGGGATTGGTTCGATAGAAATTGCGAGGGGGCCAGAGACCAAAAGACACAAAATGGAATCAATATAGAAAGAGGCCAAACCCCCAAACATACCAGCGATACAAAGATGCGAGAAACAACTATACGTCAGTGAGGAGAAAGATAGAAAGAAATTTTGAAAAAGGGATTGTGGACAAATGTAAAACAGAACCAGGTCTATTCTATAAATTCATAAACAACAAATTGCAGGTAAAGGATAATAGTCAGAGGTGAAAATGGGAAACAGATTCACGGAAAATGAAAAAGAAATGTGTGAAACATTAAACGAAAAGTTCCAAAATGTGTTTGGACAAAATGAAATCTTCTGGGAACCAGACACAATAAGAATTCCAGAGAAGAACAGAGCACATAGAGGTGTATAGAGACGAAGTGGAGACACCCAGCATTCCACTTCAACTGATTTTTCAGGCATCCCTGTGTAAAGGAGTTGTAGCTGATGTGTGGAAAAAGGCTAACATAGTTCCAATCTACAAAAGTGGCAGCAGGGAAGACCCCTTCAATTATAGATCTGTAACATTGACAAGTGTAATAGTCAAAATATTGGAAAAAATAATTAAAACTAAATGGGTAGAACACCTGGAGAAAAAGATATAATATCAGACAGACAGTATGGTTTTCGATATGGAAGATCCTGTGTATCGAATTTACTCAGTTTCTATGATTGAGCCACAGAGATTTTACAGGAAAGAGATGGTTGGGTTGATTGCATCTATCTGGACCTAAAAATGGCTTTCAACAGAGTTCCACATAAGAGGTTGTTCTGGAAACTGGAACATATTGGAGTGGTGACAGGTAAGCTAACATGGATGAAAAATTTCCCGACAGAAAAATGAGGGCCATAATCAGAAGCAATGTATCAGATTGGTGGAATGTCACGATTGGAGTACCACAGGGTTCAGTTCTTGCACCGGTAATGTTCATTGTCATTGCCCTAAGGCAGTTCGTTGTTGACGTCGACCTCGTTCTGGCAGCTCCTGCGACGTTGCTGGAACCATGCGTATTGGCATTTGCCTCTCTATTGGATAATTTCAGCAACGTGGAGAGGGGGGACCTGCTGCATGGGTAACAGCTTCTCCTCCATATCTACCTACCCAGGCTTTGCGCCCTGGAGAGGACACTCCAGCTTCGCCTCACAGCGTCGAACCAACACGGGAAGCGACAGTCTACCGGTTTTAAGTCTTCTGCTCGATTGGCGAAGAGTGTGACGCCAGGGGTTGCTTCCGACGGTGGGAGGGGTCATCGCGCCCCACTGGGCAGCTACCGCCCGCCTCAAGCTGGGCAAACCCCAGCCAATAAGGTGTTGCCTCGCCACGGTCCGTTAACCTCACTGGGTGCGTGGGGTTTAGGGTGAAAACTGACAAGCGGCCCGACAACTTTGCACCAAGCAATACCAAACCAAAGAAGAAAATATCAACTGCCCTAAAGCTGGGCACATGGAACGTCAGGACACTGACACCAGGTTTCTCTGACGACCTGCAAGAAATCAATGACGCCCGAAAAACAGCAATCATCGATAGGGAGCTGAGCAAGCTGCAGATGGATATTGTTGCTCTCCAAGAGACCAGGCTCCCAGGATCAGGATCTGTGAGAGAGAGGACCTTCTCTTTCTTCTGGCAAGGAAAACCTCCAGATGAGACCAGAGAACATGGTGTGGGATTTGCCGTCAGGAATGCACTGCTGGGACACATTATGCCACCGATGGGGGAAACCGAACGAATTCTGTCTCTGCAACTGTACTCCCAAACAGGACCAGTCAATGTAATTAGTGCATATGCACCAACCCTGACTTCTCCAGCAGAGGCAAAGGAAAAATTCTACGATGACCTCAACAGAGTCATAGCGAGAATCCCTGTAAAGGAGCCACTGTTCATCCTCGGCGACTTCAACGCCAGAGTGGGTGCCGAGCACAACATTTGGCCCACTTGCCTGGGTCAATTCGGCATAGGAAGGATGAATGAGAACGGGCAACGTCTGCTAGAACTCTGCTGCCTTCATGGTCTTTGTGTCACCAACACGTTCTTCGGCACAAAGCCTCAACACCGAGTATCTTGGAGACACCCCAGATCCAAGCACTGGCACCAGCTTGACCCGATTCTTACCAGGCGTGCAAGTCTACCCAGCGTCAAGATTACGCGTAGCTACCAGAGTGCTGTCTGTGACACCGACCACTCCCTGGTATGTAGCAGGGTCAAGATGCAACCAAAGAAGATTCATCACTCGAAAAAGGCGGGCAGACCTCGCATCGACACCACCAAGACCCGCAACCAGGACAAGGTGGAAGATTTTGCACACGTGCTCGAGGAAGCTCTTCCTGGCCCAGCTAGGGTCACTGCCTGTAAAAGATGGGAGCACTTCAGAGACGCTGTGTTCAACGCTGCCATTTCCACCTTTGGCAAGAAGACCAGCAGGTCGGCAGACTGGTTCGAGGCTCACTCGGAAGAGATGACACCTGTAATCGAAGAGAAGAGAAACGCCTTGGCAGCCTACAAAGCCTGCCCAAGTCGGCGCAACTTACAGATCCTTCGGGCCGTCCGCTGCAAAGTGCAGCAGAGCGCCAGGCGATGTGCCAACAACTATTGGCTCCAGCTCTGCTCCCAGATACAGACTGCAGCGGATACAGGCAATGTAAGGGGAATGTATGACGGCATCAAGCAGGCCCTTGGCCCAATCCAGAGGAAGACCGCTCCTCTGAAATCTGCCACTGGCGAGGTGATTCAGGACCAGACACTGCAGCTGAAGCGCTGGGTCGAGCACTACTCTGAGCTATACGCCAGGGACAATGTGGTCACCGAAGATGCCCTGAGCGCCATTGAGTGTCTGCCTGTGTTAATGGAGCTCGACAGTGAACCGACCCTGGAAGAACTCAGCGATGCCCTAGACTCCCTTGCTTCTGGTAAAGCTCCTGGCAAAGATGGCATTCCTGCTGAGACCTTGAAGTGTTGCAGAGGTAGCCTGCTCATGGAGCTGCACGAAATTCTCTGCCTCTGCTGGGAAGGAGGAGAGGTGCCACAGGACATGAGGGATGCCAACATCGTCACACTGTATAAGAATAAAGGTGACAGGGGCGACTGCAACAACTACCGTGGAATCTCCCTCCTCAGTATTGTCGGAAAGCTGCTTGCTCGAGTCGCATTGAAGAGGCTCCAAGTACTTGCAGAGAGAGTTTATCCAGAATCACAATGTGGATTCAGAGCTGGCAGGTCCACCATCGACATGGTCTTTTCCCTCAGACAACTGCAGGAGAAATGCAGGGAACAGAAGCAGCCACTCTTTGTAGCCTTCATAGACCTGACGAAGGCCTTCGACCTCGTCAGCAGGGATGGCCTGTTCAAGATCCTCCCCAAGATCGGATGCCCACCCAGGCTCCTCAGCATCATCAGATCTTTCCATGAGAACATGAGGGGCACCGTGGTCTTTGATGGCCTAACATCAGGCGCCTTTGACATCCGAAGTGGAGTAAAGCAGGGCTGCGTACTGGCTCCAACCCTATTCGGGATTTTCTTCGCAGTTATGCTGCGGCACGCCTTCGGATCTGTCACGGAAGGCATTTACCTCCGGACCAGGTCGGATGGGAAGCTCTTTAACCTCGCCAGGCTGAGAGCCAAGACAAAGGTTCGGCTGAGGTGTCTGCGCGACTTCCTCTTTGCCGACGACGCAGCAGTCACTGCCCACTCGGCTGAAGACCTCCAACGGCTCATAACCCGCTTCAGCGAGGCCTCTCAGGCTTTCGGACTCACCATCAGTCTGAAGAAAACACAAGTCATGGGACAAGGAGTGGACTCCCCACCTGACATCGGCATCTCTGATTCCAAACTGGAAGTTGTTCACGACTTCGTGTACCTGGGCTCCACAATCTCTGACTCCCTCTCTCTTGATACGGAGCTAAACAAACGCATCGGTAAGGCATCTACTACCATGTCCAAACTGACAAAGAGAGTGTGGGCCAACAATAGGCTGACTGAGTATACTAAGATTCAGGTTTACAGATCCTGTGTCCTGAGCACTCTCCTTTATGGCAGTGAGTCTTGGACACTCCGCGCCCGTCAGGAAAGACGGCTGAATGCCTACCACATGCGCTGCCTTAGACACATCTTGGACATCACCTGGCAGAACAAGGTGACAAACAACAACGTCTTGGGGAGAGCAAGAATCACCAGCATGTACACAATGCTGAAACAGAGACGAATGCGCTGGCTCGGGCACGTTGTGCGAATGGGCGACGGCAGGATCCCCAAGGATCTCCTGTATGGAGAGCTGAGGCAGGGAAAGCGTCCAGTAGGCAAGCCCCAGCTACGGTACAAAGACGTATGCAAAAGGGACCTGGAAGCCATGGACGTCGATCTTGCTATATGGGAGACACTGGCTGCAGACCGTTCAGCCTGGAGGCAGTCTGTTCAACGAGGTCTCTCCAAGTTCGAGGAGTCACTTGCCAAGGAATCGGAGGCAAAGAGACAGAGAAGGAAAGCCGGTAACCAGGAAGACAGACCAGAATCGGACTTCGTTTGTGCTCGGTGTGGGATGGACTGCCACTCTCGGATTGGCCTCATCAGTCACACCAGACGCTGCACCAGGATTGACAACTAGGGCGCAACTCCATAGTCTCCCGAGACTGAAGGATGCCTACTACTAATGTTCATTGTCTACATAAACGATCTACCAGATGGAATACAGAATTATATGAACATGTTTGCTGATGATGCTAAGATAATAGGGAAGATAAGAAACTTAGATGATTGTCATGCCCTTCAAGAAGACCTGAATAAAATAGGTATATGGAGTACCACTTGGCAAATGGATTTTAATATGAATAAATGCCATATTATTGAATGTGGAATTGGAGAAAAGAGACCCCACACAACCTATAACTTATGTGACAAATCTTTAAAGAATTTTGACAAAGAAAGAGATCTAGGGGTGGTTCTAGATAGAAAACTGTCACCGGAGGACCACACTAAAAACATCATGAGAGGAGCCTATGCTACACTTTCTAACTTCAGAATAGCTTTTAAATACATAGATAGAGAAATACTAAAGAAATTGTTCATGACTTTTGTTAGAACAAAGCTGGAATATGCAACAGTTGTATGGTGCCCATATCTTAAGAAGCACATCAACAAACTGGAAAAGGTGCAACGACATGCCACTCAGTGGCTCCCAGAACTGAAGGACAAGAGTTACATGGAGAGGTTAGAGGCATTAAATATGCAAAAACTAGAAGATAGAAGAAAAGGAGGCAATAAGATCACTACATACAAAATAGTAACAGGAATCGATATAATTGATAGGGAAGAATTCCCGAGAGCCGGAACTTCAAGAACAAGAGGTCGTAGATTTAAACTCACGAAACAAAGCTGCCGGAGAAATATGAGAAAATTCCCTTTTGTAAACAGAGTGGTAGACGGTTGGAACAAGTTAGGGGAGAAGGTGGTGGAGGCCAAAACTGTCAGTAATTTCAAAGTGTTATATGACAAAGAGTGCTGGGAGACGAGACACCATCAGCGTAGCTCTCATTCTGTAACTACACTTAGGTAATTACACTTGGGTAATTACTAGTACTATAACTATTTTCTATTGCTGACTATATTTACTAGGTTTTGAAATATTTCTGCTTCATCTGAGTACAAATGAACACTTTAGTATCCTGTGTTAACTTGTAAGTAATGTCACTCAAAAGAGCTACTTTCTTTGTTTTTATATGATGAATATATATATTAACAAGGAAGGTCTGTTTATATGTTAAACTACCTAGTAAATGTTATAGCTTTAGTGATCTCTCTCATATACAGGTATAGACTCCTTAGACTGTCACTTGTTCAACCCAGCATTACCTACCCACTTGTAATAAAATTACAAAAAAGTTTTGTCCTGAATCAATAGAGAACAGAAAATTTAAGTGATACATCAGCTGAGATTTACATCAATAATTCTTGTCTCTACACCTAGCTTATTAATACAATTTAAATCTCACTTGTCTATAGTCCCGAAAATCTCTCCACTGTTGTCCAAAAGCATCCTTAAAATCAGTTGGCCTCAGCGACGCGTACTTGCCACACCAAATTTTGTGTGTCAGTTGGGAGAACTGGCCAGCTAAGGAGTCCTTTGTGTTTAAATTGTTGTGGTGGTGGCTGAAGAAATACTGAAAAAGAAAAATCCATATCAAACAAAATCCATTACTGTATTACATATTTCAATTGCAGGCAATGAATGATGATATTTTAGGTTGCTGTATCAGGCATATCACATGCAATACAAACAATATTAAGCATATTAAAATGAAAATCTCCCCCTTTGTGCATATATTTTAGAATATGAACAAAGATAGAAGAGACTGAATGTAATGGGTTGCATCGTTCGTTGGTCAACAGGTGGTATGGGTGTATGTGTGGCAGGTTTTGAAGGTGGTGGGTGTTCTACCCCTGCAAGCCCACATATTTATTACAATCTGGCTCATCCGGTACTTTCCACAGGATTTGATCCAATCAGCTCATGTCCATTTGTGTTTTGGCAGCATTTCCTATATTTGGTGGGGAGGTTAAAGAGCTGTGGGCCTTTCATGTTCAAAATTTTCTGATAGTGCCTATGGGACCTCTTTTCTTCACTATAGTTCGTTCTACATTTCCTGCCGTATCTTCTATTCCTGCAAGTTATTCTATTATGCATATCAGAGATATGGCCTTCCAGTACCCTTCATGTGTATATTGTGATATAGTCCCAAATATTTAGGTGTTTTACTAAGTCTATGCATGCTGTATAGGTTCTCTGAATTTTATCCATTACAGAAATCTCTCTTGCTCAGAGGGGGGTAACTGTACACCGAACAGTACTTAGAGCAGGAAAGCACAATTGATTTAACCCTTAAAGTGCGCATCACGTCATATGACGTGCTGGACGTTGTTCCAGTCAACTGCGCATCACGTCATATGATGTGTTGGAGTACTATGCAAGATTTAAACAGCCCGTGGATTCACGGGGTTCACCACACCTTCATCAGGGCTCTTGTAAACAGATGCCATTTAAAAAAAAAATTGTGGGCCAAACTCCCGGGTGTTATTGGCCTCAGTATTGAGTGAGCAACCAAGCCTGACACACGCAGCATGAGCTAACAGCACTGCTGTTCAGCTTGTGACCACAGCATCGCCTAAAAATGCCAAATTATACTTGTTCATGCTATTATGTAGCGATGATATTATTACAGAAGACCCCTGACTGTGATAAAACTGACCAGGGTTCTGATAATAGCAGGATTGTGGCGATATTTAACGCTGTGCGCCATGGAGGGAGGAGTAATGTTGTGGGAGGGAGGGTGGTGGCGATGTCTTCTGACTGTGTGTGGCCACCTTTTATTGACTGCACTCAGCATACCAGCTTAGTGGTTCACTATGGTGAACACAAATGTAGATACTTATATATAACGTGTGTATAGAGGGTATAAACAGCAAGAGAAGGTTTGGAGCCGCCATTTTGGTGAGGGCGGTGGCGTCGTCTGCACGACGCCACCGTGCAGACGACGGTGTTGTTTACTGGTTACCACGATGGTCTTTGGGCACCATACCAGTTCATTTGTACAAGTATGGTGAATAAAACAGGTAGATATTTATATATAATGTGTGTATATAGCGTAATAACACCACACAGTATTGTTGGAGGAGAAATATTAGTGCGTCTGGCCTTGAGGGCGGCCGCCGATCAGCTGACTGTGAGATTAGCCACATCTTTGTGTCTTTACTCACCATACAAGCTTAGATGTACAGTTATGGTGAACAAAACATGTAGATACTTATATATAACGTCTGTATATAGTGAATTATAGCAAAAACATTATTGTGGGAGGAGAATGTGGGTGAGTCAGATGACTGGAGGGAGGGCGGGAGTGGCTGGCTGGTAAACGGCGGTCATTCCTCGTTACTTTTTGACTCATAATAGCTACTTAGTGGTTCGTTATAGTGAACAAAACATGCAGATACTTATATATAACCTGTGCTTATAATGTAATAACCGACAAAGTAATTGTTCACTGATTGATGAACATAATTGAATCAATATGCACAATATGCACACCATATTTTTGAGTACAGCAATGATTCACTCATTTTATTATATAAATATATCAAACTACACACTATTGAATAATATTACAGCAAAAAAAGTATGAAAAATCAATCAGAGACATTGAAATAATTAGGTAATTATCTCTTTGTGGCAACTCTGGCCTGACAGCTAGCGAGCAACAGACCGCCTGGGACGCAGGCTGAGTCAGCGCCTATAATTTGCCAGACTTCCCCGCTCTATAGCGGGCAATATATGCCACTTACGATTTTTTTATTATTTTTCCCGTGATCAGTGAACACAAATTAACAGGTTAGAAAGAAAATATATATATTTTTTTTTCAAAATGACATGCGCCTGTGGGGATGATAGGATATTAAACCCTGAGCATGTTAAGGGTTAAGGGGGCATTAGGTTCCAATTTGCCCCAAAAATGCAATAAATGAAAACTTGTTCAATTTCAATCAAACTTTTTTGACAAGTTCTATATGAAAAGTGTTTCATCTGGTCCAAGTTTCAGCATCGTAGCATAAATAGGAAGGGAGAAAAAAAATATTGAAGTAGTTGTGAAAATTATGCCAAAATGGTCAAAATCGATTATCAATCAAAAGTGTCAACTGAAATCATAGCTATGACTCTTTGCTATCACAATAGCATATATTAAACAAATATTATAATTAGTTTAATTGGAAAAAAAATTTAAGAAAAAAAAAAGTTTTTTTTTTTTTTTTTTTTTTTTTTTTTTATTTTTCTTTCTTTCTTTTTTTTTGGGGGGGGGGGGCGATTTGCATCAAACTTACACACCTGACTGTACGTAAGCCAATTTTGGAGAAAATTGGTTGATGTCAACCTCAGCCACAGATTTTAGAACCTTAGACTTTATTCATTTCTGTTTTTTTTTTCAATTGACACAAACGTTTACAAAACTGATTCCTTTTTTATTCCATTTACATGAAACTTACACAGTATATGTGGAGGGCATGTCTCTACATTGGGGGGCTTTCATTTTTCTCTAAGTTCATTTATTGATTTTATAATAGCAATAAACATGCCATATTTGCAAAAAAATTTGGGGGAACTTTGAACATTTGTATTAGGAAAACTAAAGATGTTTTGTTAATTCTAAAGCCTCAAATCCTTTATTATATGCTAATGTGTCAGAAAAGTGTCACAGAATAATTATATCTGAAACGTGTGTTCTGAAGTGTGGACTTGAAAATGTGTAAAAAACGTTGAGAAAAAAAAAAAAAAAAAAAACTCCCTTTCTATTTACGCTGCAGTACTGAAACTTGGGACAATTTAAGCACTTTTCATATACAACTAGAAAATTAATATTGGTTGACATTGAACAACTTTCACTATAATAACCAGGCGCCCCCTTAAAAAGTAGGAGTACTTTGTTGTGGTGTAATCCATTGATTTAATGGTTCTCATAATCAGCTCTATCCTTCTCTTGGGTGATGCTACACTTGCTTGATATGATCACTCAACATTAGCATGTCTAGCAATATTTATTTCTACATTGTAGTTTTCCTTATATCAGATCTGATTGTCTTGTACTGTATATTGTTTCCTGAAAATGTTCCTACTTTTTTTCAAAATTTAGGGCAATGGAATGTACACTCCCCGTCCTAGCTATCGAACCTCAATCATTTTTCTATTCCACCTATTCATTTGTGATCCGGCCCCAAGCGGCACCCCCATTCAGGAGAAGCGTATGTAGTTTCACGTCGGGCCACCGAGTTGCCAGTGGCACGACTTTGTTTACCCACAGCGGACAAACCCTTACCCCTCTTTCACTGTCTCATATCCGTGCATATTTTTTCTATCCTGCTTCTAGTGCATCAGGAAATGCAGGAAATATGTTGTTTTGGGCTTCAACAAGCAGACGTCAAAAGAAAACATGTTGTGATGATCTATTATCAAAGCATTCAGTTTATAAATGAAAATGAATCTGGAATGTCTCCTGCGTGGTGGATAAAGGTGCAGAGGAATGTGTCCAAATTTGAGATTGTGCAGGACAGTTCTTTCTCTCCTGAGCAAATTTATAAAGCAGATGAAACAAGTCTGTACTGGTGTAAGTTAACCTAACCAAACATAACCTAACCAAATATAACCTAACCAAACATAACCTAACCAAATATAACCAAACCAAACATAACGAAACAAAACAACAAAATCAAATATAACAGCATCTCGACCCTCAACATCCAGGCCACAACCCTCAACATCCAGGCCTCGACCCTCAACATCCAGGCCACAACCCTCAACATCCAGGCCTCGACCCCTCAACATCCAGGCCTCGACCCCTCAACATCCAGGCCTCGACCCTCAACATCCAGGCCACAACCCTCAACATCCAGGCCACGACCCTCAACATCCAGGCCTCGACCCCTCAACATCCAGGCCTCGACCCCTCAACATCCAGGCCTCGACCCTCGACATCCAGGCCTCGACCCTCAACATCCAGGCCTTGACCCCTCAACATCCAGGCCTCGACCCCTCAACATCCAGGCCACGACCCTCAACATCCAGGCCTCGACCCCTCAACATCCAGGCCACGACCCTCAACATCCAGGCCTCGACCCCTCAACATCCAGGCCTCGACCCCTCAACATCCAGGCCACGACCCTCAACATCCAGGCCTCGACCCCTCAACATCCAGGCCACGACCCTTAACATCCAGGCCTCGACCCCTCAACATCCAGGCCACGACCCTCAACATCCAGAATTCTGTCTGATGATGAATTCTGATAAAGAAAGAGATCTAGGGGTGGTTCTAGATAGAAAACTAACACCTGAGGACCACATAAAGAATATTGTGCGAGGAGCCTATGCCACGCTTTCTAACTTCAGAATTGCTTTTAAATACATGGATGGCGATATACTAAAGAAATTGTTAACGACTTTTGTTAGGCTCAAGTTAGAAAATGCAGCAGTTGTGTGGTGCCCATATCTTAAGAAGCACATCAACAAACTGGAAAAGGTGCAAAGACATGCTACTAAGTGGCTCCCAGAACTGAAGGTCAAGAGCTACGAGGAGAGGTTAGAGGCATTAAATATGCAAAAACTAGAAGATAGAAGAAAAAG